CGTAAAATCAAATGTCATTTATGAAGAGCAGAACACGTAAACGTACGTCCCCGAGGGATTTGTTATGGCGAGCTCACAAGGACTGCCCGAATGCCGAAACCTGGATTGCATACATAGTATACCGTAACTTCTTTGTGAAATTAGTCCGTGAAGACAAGGTTACGCAGCAGCAGGAGTTAATGAAGTGATTGTGCACGAACCGGAAACGTTTTACAGGCACCTTAACGGCCTTCGTAAGGTGAAGCGCGGAATTCCAGCACTATTCATGACTGAAGGATGCACGCGGTTAGCAATGGAAGCAATCGATCTCCTACGGTTTCATTACTCCCAAACGTTCCAGCAGGTAACGAGTCCAAGTATTCTTCTCTTTCCATTATTTCAGCGTCGGGTTTATGTAACATCACCTTCATTACGGAAGCTGTGTTGAAGAACATGTTATCCCTGTGTAGCCGCAGTTCTACTGAAGTCGACAACATTTGATCGAAGCCTCTGCAGGCAGTAGCTAAAGATGTAGCAGAAGCACTGGCCGATTTCTCCTAGCGATATGTGGATGAGAACCACAGTGCACCAGTATGGAAGCTAGGGGTCATCACTCCTATTCACTCATAAGGGAGGTAGCTGCATTGACCCTACCAACTGCCGTCCAATAACGCTACTTCCTGTACTATCCAAGTTGTAGATGCAAACATCGCAAATGCGCTGAGGCAATAGCTGGAAAGCCGCAACTTAACAGCCCCAGAGCAACATGGCTTCCGTCAAAAGGTTTCATTTACTAAACTACTAGTTGAAGGTAATGGCTAGACTGAAGCCGTTGATGATGGAGCAGGAGTCAATGTCATCTACTTGGATTTCTCAAAAGCGTTTGATCGTTTAGACCATCGAATTCTCCTTCACAGGCTTTAGAATTACGGCATCGGCGACCCAATCCTGAGAGGGATAAGCAATTGTTGACACGAACGTCGGTTGAAAGTAAGAGTCCGGAATCTTGGTCCAATGCAGTTGATGTGGTGGCGTGTACCACAATGCTCGGTACTTGGGCCTCGTCTATTCGTCGTGTTCATAAACGATGTAGAGATCAATTTTTTCCGATGTGCTATTTTACGCGGATGATATCAAGATATGGCGAATGATCAGAGGACCGGACGACCACGAACGGCTCCAGTGCGATCTCAACATGATGTCGAACTGGTCAGTTTAGAATGCCCTACCATTCAACGTAGACAAATGTCACGTTGTGCAATTACGCGGTTCAAACAAGCCATCATTACTGAACCTAATCCTGACAAAGAAAGAATTGATGACTGAGTCAGTCGCATATGACCCTCCACCAGGCAGTAGCAAACATTCAGTTCTAACATTTGTTTATGTGAGTTATGTTAGTATGGTTGATAAAGAACCAGAAACCCAAGGAAATATTACCCTATTCCAGGTTTCTTTACCTAGCGATAACTATTTACTGAGGCCTACAGACTCAAGGTTCGGCGAACGATGCATGGAATGAATTGAAAGGCAAAGTTTACTGGGTCATACGACCAGGCTTCAAAGTTGTACCAATACGAACATCAAGTCGGACAAACAGTTAGATCCAAAGCAGAACACGTAAGTGTATCAACAGGAGAGATGAGTTTTGGAAGCAACATACGGTAATCCAGGTGATACGGCATGGCAGAAACACAAAACAATCAGAAACTACTGCAGTCACTTATTAGGGCAGACAAATACGATTGGCAAGGGAAAATGGTACTGGAGTTTACTAGTAACATCAAACTACTACCCAGATATGGGAATGGCAAAAGAAAGATAAGGTCAGGAATACCACCACTCAAGACGGCCAGTGGCCTAACACCTACTGCTGTGGATGCCGCGAACGACCTACTCCTGCAATTCGGCTCTGGGGCAACAAATACCATAGAACCTTTGCTCCATCAACTCACAACAAATGCCGTCGGCTTAGCCAGTTGCCTTTACTCCAGAGGCTGTCGTGAACAAATTAGTTTCTCTGGGGAAAACAGTGTCTCGGAAATCAACAAGATCTGCCCAAAAGTACTACAAAGCTTTTGCTCCCACCATAGTAGCACCACTTCAGCCTTTTCCAGGGTCTGTTTGACTCCCATACACTCTCAACTGAGTGGAAAGGTGTAACCATCACTCCGATATACAAAAAAGGTAAGAGATCGGGTCATCTCAACTACCACCCTATTACTCACCTACCTGTTTTATAAGTGATGAAATCGGTAATCCCACATGAATTGACGCGATACTTTGAACGTCGACAAATATTTTTTTGCCTAACATGGTTTCAGATGCAGACGAACTTGCCTCACCAATTTGCTGCTTACCAGGAACCCATGGACCAGGGCGGCTGATGAAGGAGTTCCCATAGGTGTGAATTACTTAGATTTGCTAAAGCATTTGAAGGGGCCAATCAATGATTTCTCCTCCAAAAAGCTTGCTGCATGCGGTATCAAAGGGTTCCCTGCTCACCTGGTTGGAAAAGTACTTACATGACAGAGTAGTTGACATTCACTCTGAAAGCCCTGCGTTTCTAGTGGTGTATCGCAAGGATTTATCCTACGCCCGCTACTATTTTAGTTTACATAAATGATCTCCCAGAAAAGATTTTATCTCCGATGCAGATATTTGTAGACGATGCTAAAATATGAAGAGTAATTTGCTCAGCATCCGACCGTGCCTATCTCCAAAAAGATCTAGACCAGATTACGAATGGACAGAAAGGAAGCAGCTACCACGGAAACCTGCAAACTGCCATCTACTTCAGCAATACATACCTTCTGGGGCAGTACGTTTTGCAACAGGCTATAAGTAAACGAGACTTAGATAACATCGTAAAAAAAGCCTTGCAATTCGATGCAATGGTCGTAAGCAGCGAATGAGGCGAACTAAAACTTGAGGCGAGCTCAAGGCAGGCATGAGGGACGGCTAGTACCACCGTTGATCAATAAATAGCTTTCTGCCCAAAATGAATACGCGGCTGAGGCCTGCGCCTATGGTTAAAACGAGATATTCGTCGAATGGATGAACTGCAAAGAAAAGTTACCAAGGCAACACGAAGACTATACGGTCCCAGTTACGAACTGCGCCCTCGTTTACTTGGTGTCGTCTCCTCAATATACCGATTGCTTCGCGTCGTTCCCGTCCTCACATGACGAATAGAAACTAAAAGCAGGAACCGATGTGTACAACAGCTAAACCGGTAGCTAAACGGGTACGGGTTGCGGCTATTATTCCAAAGGTCGAGACCCCATATCTCCACCTGATGAGATGAAATGACATCGAAAGGCGTCGTGGTTGTGAAGTGTTTTGGGCGGGCAACACCCAATTTCCATTTGCTGCCGTTACGGTCCCAATCATGGCCGAGAGTTAGGAGCGCATCATTGTGAATTGCGTAAACATGGAGATTGCGCGTCGCCATTCAGGCACACGCGTAGTAGAAGTTGACTCCCCAATGAGTCATTCAACTTTGTGTCAAGCGTTGCCCGCCGAAACCCAGTAGCCCACCGTTCCAATGGTATGGGTTTCGCGGCCTGCTATCTCCAAGTGATGAGATGAAATGACATCGACACGCGTCGTGGTTATGCAGTGTTTTCCGGCGATGAAGACCCAATTTCTATCCGCTTCCGCTACGGTCTTGGTCATCGCAGTGAACAAGGTTCAATTCAATGCCAATCGCGGTCCACATTGAGAATGTGCGTCGCAATTCAACCGCACAACTGCTGTCCAAAATTGGCCTTTCAATTAGTCATTCACCGTTGTGCCAAGCATTGGCCGCCATGAAGCGGAAGACAAAAGGGTAGAGGTTGCGGCTACTATTCCAATGATCGGGGATTCGAAGCCAGCTATCTCCACCCGATGAGATGAACTGACATCCAAACGAGTAGTGGTTGTGCACTGTATTCTGGCGGGCAACACAATTTACAACTACTTCCGCTATGATTCCAATGATCGCAGTGACCAATGTGCGCTTCAGTGTGAATCGCAGGGAAACAATAATATTGTGTGTCCCAATCCAATCACACACCGTGTAGTCCCAAAATGACTCTCCAATTAGTCATTCACCATTGTGCCAAGCGTTGCCCGCCGTAACCGGTAGTCAAACGAGTAAAGGTTGCCGTTACTTTTCCAATGGTAGGGGGTTGGAGGCCTGCTATCCCCACCTGGTGAGTTGAAATGACATAGAAACGCATCTTGGTTGATAACAGTGTCATGTTAGTTACAGAAGTGTGCTTCCATAGGTTGACAATACGGTTGGACGGCTGATTAGTAGTTACACAGAGATGAAAACTCGTCGCCACTATGGCTTTTGCAAAGAATTAAAAACACTCGAGTAGAGGGTTTCGGTGCTGCTGTCCCCCATCATTGCACTCTATGTCGTGTCTCATCATCGGGTAGAGAGGGAGCCTGAGTTGGGGGTGGAACTCGACACATAGTGGATGGTGGCTATTGCCATGATCACTAGGTTATAGAGCTCCACGAGTCTTACTCAAATTCCGTCCTAGTAGTCGATGTTGAAGTGCTATGTTGAACGTCAGCCCGTGGCCTTAAGCATCACAAGCTTGCTTTGTAAACTGACGGTGCAGGTTCGAACTTGCATAGGGACCCGGGCGATCGTTGCAATATCCTTACTCTCCGCGCGATAGGTGGTGGTTGCGCAGCAGCGAAGCGTCGGTATTGTGTACCGGCGAGCTGCTGATGACCATTGGCTCTCTCTGCTAGTGGATAAATTCTACTTCCAACGGTCTGCATGAATTTTAAGAAACTACGAGATAGCAGACTCAGTGCAGGGCCTTGCTCGCGGAGTGAATTGCAAGTGTCTTAGAGACTGGGTCTACGGCAGTTGATGAGAGGGATAACCGGTAAGCTGCATGACGATAGTAAACACAGAGCTGCATGTGGTGTCTACAAACTGATGGAGGCAGCAATGGAACCCAAGTGAGAAATGAAATAAAAACGGTACAAAAGAACAAAAGCACACATCAAGAGACTCACAGCCAGAAGTATCTATTGTCAGAAAGTTCAAAACACACAAAAATAAACAAAAATAGATCACAAACTGAAGCAACAATGACCCATAGCCTCGGAACACAAGGAAATGTAGCGTGTGGTGACAGAAGTGGTAGATCGTGAGAAGGCGGGTTCGCAATTTCACTTGGCTCCATAACAGCAACAGAAATCATTACAAGAAAGTGAATATAGCAGTGTCAGCAGCAATCGCCTTTGATGTTACGGTGTTTTTGGTTCAGTTGTAATCTGCTAGAGGCCAGTTGTAAATTACCACGATATTTGTTGTCCGGGTCCCAAAGATCAGGCAACTCGTAGATGCGGTTGACCAAGTCCATGAACAGGGCATTAACTCCCTCGCTGGTCTTTGCACTCGATTCTGCATACGGCATGCGGTACATACGGGCAAAACGAAGTCCCTCCTCGCGACTGACCTGACGTGTAAGCTACAAAGCACGAAGAGGTAGAGGCGGACAAATGCAAAGTAAAATGTGGTCGCGTAACTAGGCGATACTAAAGCTCAAGTGTACATTAGGTGGCAGCGTATGCGACCAACCATGTTTGGCGAAAGTTCAATTAAGTTCACTTCAGTTGAACAACTAGGAACGGAGCACCGAAGTGCGGTGGACCGTTGGCACGAGTCACACCGTAAGCATATCAATAAATAACGACGGCAAGATAGTGGGGTTGGGTGCAAATAGAATGTAGAGAAAAGGATAACAAGAAGGAAATGCGTTAGACTAATCAGAATAGAACGAAAATAACAACCGGCTGAAAGAAACCGAATACAGGATCGCCACTGATTACGTGAGTGCACCATGTCTGACACGGTCTCCAACCATTGGTGTGGACCATCCCGAGAACAACATGCATGAAGACGACATGCGCCAGTCAATTAGTTTATGTCTCGATGCTACCTAATGGATTGGCCACCTTGAGGTTTCGCCCCACTTGGAACAGCCACGGCGGATAATGCACGCCTAGGAAGCCGATCAACGGGCATACGGAGAACATGGCCCGGCCAACGCAAACGATTAGGATTCAGCAAACACTCGAGTAAGGCACCAGAAGGTTTTATGCCAAAAACTAACTGCTGGACCTCAGCATTGCTCATCCGGTGTTCCCAACAGACGTGAGCAATACTCCGCAAGCACCGGTAGTCAAACGCGACTAGGCGTTTAACGTCATCGCAGCGAAGTGGCCAGGTCTCTGATCCACACAGTAAGACCGGCCTTACCGTAGCGTTATACACCCTACCTTGCGCTGACAAGCTGATATGTCGCCGTCTCCATGCAGGCTGGAAAATATATAGAGGCAATCGCTTGCTCCTGTGTCTTCCGTGTATGAACAACGGTCTCTCAGGGGTTACCACAATAATGATCTGGAAATCATAAATCACACCCATCCAAAAGTTGAAATGATAACTTCTAAGACATTTCTTTTACAGAAATCTGGTCAGGTAAATACAAGTATGGAATACATACTCATTGGTGATACAAGGAGTTAGCTACAGGTGGCAAAAACCTCAGCTACTGTGCCGCAGAAGAAAAAAAGTCATGCAACAGATACATGCCAGCTGAGCTACCGGTAACGGATAGGCATCGTTCCGGAAAACTACCAATCGGCTACTAGGCAGCAAAAAATTATTATGCAATTATATTATACTAAAAAATGAGATCGAGGTTGAAGGGGGAAACAATGAAACTCACAGCACGAACGCCATTGAGGTCGGCTCCTAGCCATGTCAGCAAGTGTATTCAGCCAAACGTGCTCGTCGTCTTTCGGACCCAAACCAAGGAGTCGAGACGCACCAACCGAGGTCAGTTTCGAAGAAAGGGCCTTCATTCCTCCCAACCAAGTCATCGCTTGGCCACCTCACATATTCTTCCATCCACACCCCCGGGCGTACAAACAATGCACGTCGCGGGAATCGGTGGGCTGGTATGCGCAACACGTGGACCAGCCATCCGAGCCTGGTGTGTGAAATAACGGTGCTGAGCGGTTTGGCTCTTCTTCCTGTGCCATAAACAAGGAGTCGAACACGCTCGTTGCTCACCTGGTGTTCCCACCAGACAGGAGCAAAATGCGAAGGCACCGGTAGTCAAATGTAACCATCCTCTTTATGTCCGCTGATCTAAGGGGCCAGGTTTCACAACCGTTGAGTAGGGTTGAAAGTACTGAAAAGCTGCAGGAATACCATCTGGTCCCGTGGCTTTAGTTAACTTCAACATTGCGACCTCACGTTAGACTTCTAAGCGAGAGGATGGGTCCAAAGGGACAACCCAGGGAGTGGGGCGAACAGTGGCAGTCGAGAAATCTGACAATTCCAACCGTTTAAGCTGCCTTTCATAGTGCTCAGTCCACCGCTCCAAGCGTTTCGACAAGATGTGGATAGGTTATTCACTCTCGTCACGTTTACTTTCACTAACACCAGGTCTTCTGATGCCCGTTTCCCGTATCAGACGGAATAACTACCGAGGGCAGCGGCCACTTCCATCGCTAACGCATGAAGAGACCACCAGGATTCGAGGTCTTTCTTCAGGCTAGCACAGAGCCTTGCCCGGAGGTTTCTGCGAGCCTCATTGTGTTCGCTTCCAGCCGGAATGTGCCAATGAGCATCGATCAGCTCTAGAGACCGCGAAGAGACCCAAGTCTACGTTGGTTGTTATAGGATTCGGCTGCAGCTAGTCAGGTCTGGTGAACATGCGACCAGCGAGTTTCAATTGTATCCCGTGAGCGCTTACTCAACCCGCAAGTCAGCGTACTTCGATACGCATGCAGAACATCTGGCTTCGCCGGTTGACTGGTGTCTATGCGTTCACAGCATCGTCGAGGGCCTCCGCCAAAATGCACCCGCAGATCAGCCACATACAAGTGCATGGTCGGTGTCCACACAGTTTTGGACCCAGCCTCTCCATCGGTAACTCATTGCTATGTGATAGATTTGCATCCAAGGCTGGTGGGCGCTCAGCCACCCGCCGGAAGGTGCTTTGTCGGAAGTTAGTGCTCGTAAGAAATAAGCGGGCACCTTCACACAAATTAAGTAACCGCTCGCCGTTATCATTACGAGAGCCTACACCATGCTGATCGCCCAGTGCACAACTTTCGTACTTCAGCATTCAGGTCCCCCGTCAGCACAACAATGTCCGTGCTTCTTCTGTGGCGAAGGAGCGCGGTGAATTGGCGGTAGAAATCGTCTTTTACCGAATCATCGCTACAGTTTGTGGGTGTGTAGGCAGCGATGATGAACAGACACCTGTTAGTCCCGCGCGAGTTCGAAAAATTGAACGAGCCACGCAATCGGACCGCACCCATCCAGCTACTGAATGGGATCCAAACAAACAGAGCAGCTTCAGTCCGGGGAATCAGCGCACTACCAACACCGGCTTGGCCGGTGCTCGAAGCTGCATCGTCACCGGATAGGCGCAATGAGAAAGTACTGCTGGTGTCACCTGAAGGGGATCACAAAGTGATCACAGAGCTCGACTCTTGAAGACGGGTCTCCGATAAGCAGCAGATATGGATCGAGAGGGTCTCTAATGTTCGGGCAAGTGCTGCCCGATCTCTAGCAATGTGCCTACATTGAGGTATGCCAACTTGAGGAAGGATCGAAGGCTCCAAATAAAAGCCGATGAACTGGATTTGACCGCTTGGTTGGACGTGGGCTTGGCAACAAGGCAGGAGTGGCGTTCCGCGTTTGCATGTGATTTGAAACTGTAGGCTAACCACCTATCAAAGTAAGGTGGGGGGCCAGGTAATTGGGGTGGAAAAGGGTTAGGGGGATAAAAGTGATTAAAACGGGACGATAAGGGTGAAAAAGAGGTGAACTAAGAAGATGGGAAGGCTTGAGCAGTAGCATCCAAACCCTTATACACCCTGATCGATGCAGCAGATAGGGCACCGTTTATTATCCGCTGTGACGGCCAGAGTATCAAGAAATTGTATAATGAAGGTTTCATGGTATTGCGTGGTCAGGATACTGTCAAATTGCCCAGGCCGAGATAGGATAACGATTAGGGTTCTCAACCAAAGCCTTTGATTCAAAAAGCTGACGACAATGCAGCAGGTTTGGCAGTGGACTATAAGGAGTCCGTTTTAAGGTATAAGGAGCTATCCTCATTCCAACCTGGAGGAAAATGAGGCTGAGTTTGTATAGGCTCTGGTATGAGTGGTCCTGAAGGTGCACCAAAAGCACCACCCAGCATAGCTCGATAGATCGCTGAGGTACGCAAGTCATCACATAACGGTAAAGTCCAGCCTCATTGCGTTGTTACAGACAACGGTGAACCGAATTGCCCAGGCAATGGTGAGGGGAAGAGTACGCACGTGCGGAGACTGACACACGGTGAAAGGACGACCGGTCATCGGAGCAAGCAGGCTGATAACAGATAAAGGGCAGAAAGCGAAGTAAGTATTTCCCACGAGAGCTGATTACGATTGCACGAGCCAGAAGGACAACGCAGAATTGACGCAACCTAACATGAACGAAGGTCTACGTGGTCCAGTGTAAGGTGAGCGCGGATCGAATCGAGCACAGAGAAAGAACGGTCTGTGTAGGCGAACGCATATAGGCGGACCATATGGAGAAAAAAGTGGTAGCCAGCGAAAGACTACCATATTGAAGTGGTACTCCAAATCTATGTGAAGCAAAAAAGAAAAGAAAAGTACGCGGTACAGACGCTTTGCCGCCGCGTAACCACCAGCTGTCGCAAGTAGGCTAAGGATACTGCGAGGGTTGTCCGACCCCCTACGCAGGTTCGAACCGGCGCCCCCAGATTACAACACAGGCAGGTGATCCTTAAGGCCGGCATATGAAGTAAAAAGGATCTTATGAGTCGTTTAGAAGGAATTATGATCGCTGTCCAGGCTTCTCTTCGAATCGCAGGGGGCTAACCAACAACTCAGCACTTGTGCTACGTTCAGAGGGTCACTCAAAAATGCATGCTTCGGAAGAAGCAATTACACATAAATATGGGGGCGATTAGGTCATGGGCGTCAGCCAGCTATGTGCAGTCACTTCAGCGAAGCTATAGAACCGGGTGAAGTAATTCACTATTTGGTCTAAATCGATTTATTTAGTGCGCAATCATCATGGCTAAGTAGGTTCTCATCTCATCACAGTAGGGTGTACAGTAAGCCCCCCCCCCCGGATTACTATCAGCCACGCACCGATAATGCGTGTTGCCATCTACCAAAACAAGCTAAGTCTGCAGAATTCATACCGGAACACGGGTCAGCTTGATAGGTGAAACAACCATAAAGTTCAAACGATAAATCGACTGAGACATTTTGTTCCTTCCAACGGCTTATCAACATGATGTTCGGACCAGTGAACCTCTGTGATGGCTGAAACCTGAGGCGAAGGGAATCGTCGCGGTACCGATGGACCGGCGGCCAATCATAGGAAGGCCGAGTGTGCACGACTGGGGTGCCTCAGTGCACAAAA